GGGATGGGAGGGGTAGGGGATTAGAAAGATTAGTGGGCTGCCACTCCTAAAAATATCGGAGGGTTTTGTCTTCTTAATCATATAACTGTAGCCTCTGTCTGAGAAGAATGCTCAAGAATGCATTTTCCATTTTTGACTGAACGTAAAACAGACCAACACACCAGGATGTGTTCTAGAGTTCCCTACATCTCCATAGTTTACAACTGAAGAAGTTGAGACTCATTATCCAGTAAATGTCGTTGATTTAATACAAAATCACAAACTCTTGATTATTTTCTATACATCTTCCTTTGCTACAAGAAGTTACTTTTGGCTAAAATAATGACTGAGCTATTAGATGGTAAGAGAACATGGTTAATGAAAGGCACTCGGTCTAGGACAAAGATTGAAATGAGAGATAACCTCAGATCTATTGATTGTTTTCAAACTCAAATACATAGACACAATGACCATTAAGGAGGGCTAACAATGAATCTTTTTATCAATAGTTAGTTCCCACATGACTTGCAGCATCAGGGGCAGCTTAATGATCCATCTTTCCCACAGTGTCTGGTCAGGAACATTGGGTTCTCTAGAAAAGCAGAATTATGACTGGACATGTGCCAGCTCCTGGGGCAGTAGCTTTCAGAACATTCTATGGAGAGCAGGGGGACTTTGCTTATAAGACAGTTAAAAACAAAACAAAATAAATAAACTAAAAAGATATTTGCAACCACTAACTAGTCTAATAGTAGGAGCATAATCAAATTCTGTTCAAGCATCCCTGAAATCAGCTGGGCAGTGGTGACGCACGCCTTTAATCCCAGCACTGGGGAGGCAGAGGCAGGCAGATCTCTGTGAGCTTGAGACCAGCCTGGTCTACAGGGACTAGTTCCAGGATAGGCTCCAAAGCCACAAAGAAACCCTGTCTTGAACAACAAAACAAAACATAAGCATCCCTGAAATCATGTCTGGCTTTCTTAAGAGCAGAAACCTTTCCAGGTGGCGAAGTGCTCAGGATGGCTCAAAGCCGTCCTCCCCCAGTGGAAAAACCAGTGTTCGCCTCTTGCCTGACGTGAACCAGTCCTGCTGATAGTGACCTTGGGATGGTGACCTGCCGTCTCATTGTCTTCCTTCATCTGTAAAAGTGTGAACTAGTGACCAAGAACTTGTCCAACGCAGTTGGGCTCCTGCCTTGCTGTGATGAGGGCAATTTCTTTCTATCCAAGGAGAGCAACTATTGAAGAGGGTAGTGTCCTGATTCTCTTTAGAAACCTTAGTCCTAGAAAAAAAAAAAAAAAAAAAAAAAAAAAAGGAACGGAAAGGAAGGGTGAGCGGCCTGTGGAGTGCAGTCCTCTTTCATTATTCATAGCTTGTCTGAGTCAGGCGGTCTTGAAGGAAAGATGTAAGGAGAACAGATGTAACTAAGAGGCAGACTGGGCTTTGGTTGAGGTTTCCAGAAGCATCCACAGCCATATTGGTCCTTAGTGACACAGTCTAACTCGGGGTTAAGAATGGGGTCTGTTAGTCTCCGGAAGGAAAGCTCTAAAGAGATCAGCAAGGACTTCAGGTGTGCAGGAATTAAAAGAATGGGCAATTGAATTGTACAAATTATTCTCCATTGGATGGGTTTAATTTTTACCACCTATGAGTTAGTATAGGAAAGGCATTCTTAATTAATTGGTCATTGTAAAAATTAAATTTTAAATGTAGTTTTCAACTGAATAGAAAATAAGGGTATTATTGTAGCTAGGTGCCGAACTTAATTACCAACTCTCATATTATTATAGTGAGCTTTCCATGGGAGCTTTAAAATCACCACTGAAAGTATATAATCTTTCATGTTTCTTACAGTGACATGTAACTTGCTTTCTGGATAAACTCAATCATGTACAAAAACCTCAATGTTTATGGTAACATAAGGCTATAACTCTAAATTGTTTCTTGTAACATTTCCCACAAATGAGCAGTCAGCTCATATGCAGGGCAGTGTTTGTCCACCGTGTGTAAAGCAGCAGTACATGGAGTTTAGGCTTGTGCTTAATCTAGTGTGCCTTATGCTGTGTTTGTATATAACTCATTTCATAAAACCATGGACTCAAGATGCAGACGTTACAGGGTTTTGTTTTGCTTTGTCTTGTTTAATTGAGTGACTCCCGTTTACAGGTGAGGAAGCTTCATTCACACAGAAATCAACCAACTTGTGTAGGGTGCCTCCCTAGTGGCAGCCAGAGCGATGGTGCTAGTCTCTCTACTTGGGTTTCTGCTTTTTTCTATACCTAGCTATGTGGAAGTGCATGTGTAAAGTGTGTGTGTGTGTGTGTGTGTGTGTGTGTGTGTGTGTGTGTGAGTCTGTGTGTATCAGTGTGTGCCTGTGTCTGTGTATCAGTGTGTCTGTCTGCATATATCTCTGTGTGTGAATCTGTGTGTCTATGTGTGTGTGTGTCTGTCTGTTTGTCTGTGTGTGTCTGCATGTGTATCTGTATGTGTCTGTCTGCATGTGTCTGTGTGTGTGTATCTCTGTCATGTGTGTTTGTGTGCGTGTGTGTCCATGTGTGTGTCTTATGTGTATCTGTGTGTGTGTGTGTGTGTGTGTGTGTGTGTGTGCACATCTGTGTGTATCAGTGCTGGGGATTGAACCTTGGTCATAAACAAGCAAAGCAAGTACTTCCACCACTGCACTGCCCCAGCTCTCTGTTGTTTGACCTTTGAGTTTGACCTTTGAGATAGTCTTGCTCAGTTGCTAGGGCTGTTCTGGAACTCATCTTCTGGAGGCCTCAGCCTCCCAGAGATGGGATTACAGACAGGCCTGCACCACCATGCCTACCTACATAATTCATTAATAGCATAGTAATAGCATACTTTTAAACATTTTACTCCATTTTAGACTTGAAGCTCTTTAGCCAGATGACTGCTGATTTTTTTTTTTTTTTTCATCAAGAAATAGAATAAAGCTCAGTGCCTTTGTCCTCAAACAAGAGCTACAAAACTTGGAGGTGGAGCATGGTGGCTGAGCATGTGCTTAGCATCTGTAAGGCCCTGATTAACCCAGAGAACCAGACTAGAAGTGGGGCCAGGAAGGGCAAGGGAAGAGGAGGAAGGAGATTTGAAAATGTCTTCTGGCATACCCAGTCTTCCTAAAAGTTCCCAGCAGTGCTTTCAAGTCATCACCACGACAAGCTGGCCACTTCCTGTGCAAGCATGTGATGTGTCTTTGTTTATGGAGTCATTAAAATCCTGTCCTAAGAGTACACCAACCATAACCTAATCATAGTATTTAGTAGGGCTTCCTGCCTGAAGCCAGCTGTCTCTTGCCTTGGGGAGTTTCCTTCACCTGTCCGTAATGTTCCCTCCCAGTGTCGATGCCCTCCACTTGTCTAATCACCCCGGTCTCAGGCCACTTGCATGTTCCTTTCACTCCTTGGCTTGTCTATGTACAGCCCTGGCGGTTTCTTTGGCTGCACCCTCCAGGGTAATGGCATGGTCTTCCACAGCCTCTGTTTTCCTATAGTTTCAGTTCCTAGGGCTTTCATGATTTCCTGTTGTTTCTTTTCAATAAACGTTGATCTTGTCTCTCTGTCTCACTCTCACTTAGAATAGTACAAGGTCTCATTGTTTTAATGATGCTCAGGAAATTGTATTACCCGTTTTCCTTGTGCTGTTTGTCAGCTCTTTTCTTTTTGCTCATTTCTCCTCGAGATGAAAAGTGTCCCCATTTCACAATAGTAGTACAGTCTAGTGATCAAGCACTCAACAGGTGGCCTTTGGGGAGCATTTGAAATCCAAATTGTAACAGTAATCATTGCAAAATTGAGGTAACTAACAGTATATGAACTTAGAAAACGCAGCTGGACTGTTGCTAAGTGAGCAGCATTTCAGATGGTGTTTTCTGTTTATTGATTTTAAGATGGATAAAATTGACAGCACTTTGTTTTCAAATGCCACTCATTACTGTTACAACAGGAGCTGCACCCACCCGTGGGCATCGGGTTTCATCTTCCTTGCAGTTGCCAGCTGCAGGCTTGCTGCCCATGACTTGGGGTGGTTATGAATTTCTGAAGAATGTAGGCCCCACTGGAGTGCTACAGGTCACATGTGAAGTATGTGCCTGGTTTATGAACTATTGATGCAGAACTAAGTTGATAAGGGGGTTTGCAGAGACAGCAGTTACTAGCATTCCATGATGCCAACTATGAACTTAAAGCCTGAATTCTAGGTTTCATAATTAGTTGTAGGACCTTATTCTTTTACACAGTTACTCTTTCTCATCTTTTCAGGTTATTTCTGCACTGAATAAATGTTTTCCCAAATAAACGTGGCAGAATGTTACTGTCACCATTGCTCTCGAAGAAGTGTCAGGGACCTATGGTTATGAGTTAATGAAATACCTGTGTCAGAGCCTTTTCTGAGACAGGAACAGTGCATCATCGCTGTATATTCAAAGCTCCAGGAGGTTGCTTTATGGAAGGATAGTCTTAAGAGTTTTGAACTCTGACATCTAGGAGGCATGTTTGTTTACATGGGAACCTCTATAAGTTGCTGTCCAAGGCCTTTATCATCTGTAAGTTAGTTCCAGGACAACAATTTTGTTGTGTGGAAACAAATTAATTTGTATGTATGTAGTAATTTATTTTTTAATTACCCTGGGTTTTTTAGAAGAAAATGCTGAAAAACTTCCCTAATTATAAAAATCCTACCACTAACTGCTTTTTAAACATACTGACACAGAGAAATGTTATTTTGTCCTGGGAACACTAAGATGTGGATTTGAAATTTTGAGTACAAAAATAGGTCAAACTGCCTACTTTTCCAGAGTTCTGTCCATTATTTTAGACCCTGTCTAAAATGTTCTTCTAGGGTTGAATTTGGTGTTAGACATTCATTATATCTGATGTATGTTTTATTTAACACACACACACACACACACACACACACACAAATAAATTTGTTGTTCATAAAACAATGTTTGGCCTCCTGGGAAGAAAACTTGGGAAAGTAAAGTGTTTTCATCTTTCTTGTAGGATGGGTGCTGCAGACAATATATACAAAGGACGGAGTACTTTTATGGAAGAGCTGACAGACACAGCAGAAATAATCAGGAAAGCGACACCGCAGTCCTTGGTCATCCTGGACGAGCTGGGAAGAGGGACAAGCACTCATGATGGAATTGCCATCGCCTATGCTACGCTTGAGTATTTTATCAGAGATGTGAGCATCCCACACTTTGTTAACTGATGTTATTTTAAGTTGGCATATTACAATAACAGGTATTTAAATATGAAATAATTGAATTAAGGTCATTAATGGGTCTGCCACCTCACTTTTGTGGTGAGACATGAAATCTGGTCTCATGGTTACTGTATAACTAGAGTCTCAATGCCTTTATGTAATACCTTCAAGCCCTTTTCCTCTTTTGTATGAGTATGTGCATGGAATGTGCCTGTATGTGGGGTGCACATGGGCACACATGCATGTGGAAGCTGGAAATCAGCCTCAGGTGTTGTTCCACAGGAGTGGTCCAACAGGAGTGAGACAGGTTATCACCTGGAACCGAATAAGCTAGGCGTGCAAGCCAGTGAGCCCCAGAGAGCTCCTATCTCCATCTCCCCAGGAAATTAGAATATAAGTTCACACCACCACACCCAGCTTTTTACCTGTGTGGCAAGCACTTCACTGCCTTTGTTACTGAATTAAATAGCCAGGAGAAGTTCTGGGTTTTTTTGTTTGTTTGTTTTTGTTGTTGTTTTTGTTTGTTTGTTTTTTGTTCAAACATTTATTTAGATGACATAGATAATGATACCATTTTTTTTTCCTTTAAAATAAATACTTTTCATTTTTCGGGTGGTGGTGGCACACACCTTCAATCCCAGCACTTAGGAAGCAGAGGCAGGCAGATCTCTGTGAGTTCAAGGTCAGCCTGGTCTACAAGAGCTAGTTCCAGGACAGCTAGATCTACACAGAGAAACCCTGTCTCGAAAAACCAAAACTAAACCAAAAAAGCTTATTTGAAAAGCGGTGCATTTTGCTCCATTTGGTAAAGTCCCATTTGCTCCACCAGCACATTTTAACATCTGCTGAAGCCTCCAGAAGACGTGAGGACAGAACTGAGTTTGCCACCCCTGAGATCTAGTTCATAACTTCTGCTGTGTTACACTGTGCCAGTGTTGTGGGTGCATAATGAATGAATGTCACTGTTGACCCAGGCTTCCATAGTGGCATGGCTGAGTGGCTTTCCATTCAGTCTTTGGTGTAGCTATGGTGAGGGTACAAGTGGGAGCAGCTGCCATCTGAAGGCTGGACAAGGACTGCAGGGTCCCCAGTAATGTCGGGGCTCACATAAGGTTCCCAGCTTGGTGCTGGTGGCTAGCTGGGTCTTCCTGCCATTCTTTCTCTGGCCCTATCAGGTATCCTCAACAGAGTGAGTCCAGGCTTCCTCTAAGGAAAGCAGTCCAAGAGACCCGGAGAGAGAGGAGTGTCTGTTGCCTCGCCCTTGTGGTTGGGAAGAACTACCCTCTGACAACACTGACTGTTCCTTAGTGTCTCTGTGTTTAGCGTTTCTGTGATGTCTTTCCTTAGAGTTATATGGTTTTTGTTGGGTGCATTTTAAAATATTTTTTGTAGTTTAGGTCCAAGCATTTCATTTGAGTGGTGCTTGTATAGGTGATACTTATTCTTTTGATTTCAAATTCTGCTTTTTAATTTCTGATATATAGGAAAGCAGTTGTCTCCTATGTTAATCACAGTGTTAATGCCATAAAAGACTAAAATAGGAGAATATCTAAAATCTATGAGTCATATTCTGTGATAATTAATTTCTTGTGTATAAATTTTATTCTGGTTCTATAAGAAACTGATTTTGTTCTTAGAAGATAGAATCATAATATTTAAGGTTGCTGACTGCAACGAATTCTTAAATGGTTAGGGCTAGTAGCTTGGTAACAGAGCATTTGCCTAGTGTGTGAAAGCCCTCTGGATTCAGTCATCAGTACTGGAGAAGGCAAAGATGATTCAGGAAAGTGTGTGTGTGTGTGTGTGTGTGTGTGTGTGTGTGTGTGTGTGTGTACATGTACATGTGTGTACCTGCCTGCCTGCCTGCATAGGATGGAGGAAGGAAAGGAATGTGGCAAGATATTAACTGGTTGTCTAAACTAAGAGTCCCTGGTGGGTTTTGTTCTTGCAACATTTATAAAGATTTGGATTTTTAAAATTGAGACATTTTAATTAAAACAAACTATATGTCTTCCTGTTTTAGGTGAAATCCTTAACCCTGTTTGTCACCCACTATCCACCAGTTTGTGAACTTGAAAAACTTTACCCAGAGCAGGTGGGGAATTACCACATGGGATTCTTGGTCAATGAGGACGAGAGCAAGCAGGAGTCAGGTATGCAATCCCTTGCAGTAGCAGCCAGGTGAATACTCGAAAGTTTCAGCTTGGTAACTCAAGATTTCTAGAAATACGAGCTCATTGCTTGTTAATAATACAAGCTGTGAGCATCAGTTATAAAGAATATTTGGCAAAATCCATGTGCTATAAGCCTTGAGTAACGTAGCATGTACATTTGTTTGTTTGCTAACTCAAAGTCCTTCTCCATTCTTCCGTCATCTGTTTAAATGGCCATCCTTTTTCCCAAAGCAGAAGTTCCTCTTAGTCCCGCACAGTTTTCCTCAGTTCTTATCCTAGGATAAGATAGTCAAGTGCAGAGGTTTCTAGTCACCTTTAAAATGTTTACCCTCCCCCATACCCTTTACCACTAATTACTTACTACCGGCCATAACCGGAGTCGTGTTGTGTCTCACTATGGTAAAAGTGAATCTGAGGTGAGCTGGCTTGCCCATGCCAGCTACTTGGGTAGAAGATCCACATTTCCTGTTTCTGGGTCCTGCTTTTCTAGCTTTTCCAGTACTGCTTCCATCAGAGGATGAGGTCTTTCCCTGAAAAAGAGCATCATTAGCCAGCAGGAATACATGCAGGTGCCATAAGTAACCTAGTAAGCTTTAGAACTCCACCCCCACCATAGCAGGTTTTTTTAAGCTACCAGCCTGTGGTAGTTTGCACAGTTGGTATGCTGTAATGGAAAACCCATTATCCAAGACACTCCAGAGTCCAAATTTAATTTTGAAAAAGTAGTAAAGACAGAACTTAAAAAGAAACCAGGCAGATGGCCCAAATAAAACAAAGTACTGGACCTAAGATAAGTGTAATGGTTAGCAATCCCTGAGCCCTGAGAAACACATCATAAAGTCTGTCATTAAGAAGTTTGGCTTCATATTAATCTGCATCCAGTGTGACAGAAAATGGCTTGCAAATGAAATCCACGGGGCAAAGTAGACTTCTGCAGTGGAGAAGGCCTGAGCAGTTGCCTCTGAAGAGCTTGTGAGCTCGCTGCCAACCCAGAGCAGAATCCTGTCCCCTAAAGTGTCTGCCGTTTTATTATATTGATTTAAACTTTATCCATGGACATAATTCTTAGAGTTAAATGCTGCTAGGCCCCTGCTAACAAGCTTTCATCCCTTCACTCCACGCCCTCCCTCCCCCCCCCCATCCCATCCTAGGCAGACTTGGTGATCTTTCCTCCACTTCTGTCCTGCTCCTGAATGATGTGTGTGGTTCCCATTCCTTGGCACTTGTATTAGCAGTGACATTGTTCCAGGGCCTCAGCCTTCCCGCCTGTCCTCCTGACCTCATCCTTGGCGTTGCATCCTGCCTGGCCCGTGATTATCGTTTTAGCCATCTCCACAGCAACAGCGGTGCCTGCCCATCTCTAAGAACTAAGTCTGCTTAGTTTTTACTTTTGCATTTTGTCCTTTGCTTTGAGTCCGCAGGCGAATCCTCCTTGGCCCTCTGGTAGCTTTGGAAAATGCCTCTCTAAACAGAACTGAACCTGTTCCCACTGCAGCCCCTCCTGCTGAGGCCTTTTGTTTTTCTTCTCTTGTGAACTGGTTGCTGCCCAGGCCTGCTGCACATCTGCCTTTGTGGTCCCCGAGGAGTTCTTCTGTTTTCCCTTCTGAGTGTTTGGTTTCTAGTAGCAGAGCACTTGACCACTTGATCCAACAATAAGGTCATCCAGTGTAGCACCTCAGTGCAGTGCCCAGCTCCTCCAGCAGTTGTCCTGGCTCGGTCTTCCTGCCCTGCTGGCTCCACCCACAGGCCTGTGGGAGAATGGCTATAGCTCTTTCAGACATCATACACTGGATGCCTGACAGTGTCCAGTGCTAGAAGAGGAGCTCGCGTTTAGGGAGACTTTTTCATGTTTTCCTTATCTTACTGGATGTTGAACCAGGCTTTGTTTATGCTAAGCATGTACTCTGCCACTGAGCTATGTCTCTGTTCCTTCTTGTAACTGTCTTAGGAGCAAGACAACTTTTTTCAGGCCTTCTAGCATCTCAGGAATCTGTCCAATCTCATTTTCAGAATTGAATTGAATCTAAGTGAGAGTGGCAGAAATAACTTTGTCTCAAAATTAATCAGGATCCACTTTTAGAGCTGGGTGTGAGGAGATTGCCCTGACTAAATAGACAGAAAGTCAATTCCTTTTAATACAAAAGTCTTCTATAAAGTACAATTGATTTTGGGTAGGCCACTACTAATGTCAATGAAACTAGGTAAAATGTTCAAGGCCTGTGTTTCCAGGGGTGTGTGGTACCCAAAGTAACGGATCAGCAGCCAGAGAAACAACTGTAAAAACTTAGACAAAATTGGGTATTGTATTGCATTCCTATAGCTACTTGGCCAGATCAAGGCCAGCTTGGGATACATGAGACCCTGTGCAAGGGGTAAGAAGACAATGTCTAATCGTATCTATCTCTAAACATCTACACACATCTGTCCAAAAAAAAAAAAAAGGGAAGTTCAGAAGTGACTTGATCAGGGCCTGCTGAGCTAACTTGACTAACTTAGTGGATAAAAGCCAAGCTGCTGCCAAGCCTGGTGCTGAGTTCAGTCTCTCAAATCCACACTGTGGAAAGAAAGACCTAACTTCCAAAAGATGTTCTCTGACTCCCACACACCCTGTGTGCCATGCGTGTACTGTTCCCCACAGCAAATAAGTACGTGTAAAAAAAAAATTGAAATTATTCAATCAGAACATTCCTGAGAAATTTGACCTTATAATAGATTTTGCTAGTTTTCTTGACAATAGACACCTGGGTTATTATAGGGTTATTATATTTATAGACTCTGACAGTGATTAGTTTTCAAAATATCCCCAGAGAAAAGGGTGTAGCTTGTAAGAGAAGAATTCACTAAGAACCTTTGTGGTGAGGACATAAAACAATGGGTTGTTTTTATTCATCTCTCCTTCCACCTGCCTCCCCCTGCCTCCAAATTTCCATTGTAGACATGCCCACGTTTGTACAGCCCACTGAGAAGGCTTGAGGCAAATTATAACAAAAAGACACGCCCAGGTAGCTGTGAAGAGTGATCGTGTTCTTTACCTGAGGGTATGAAAGCAGTCATAATGCCAAAGTGGAGACTGGCATATGGTGTTAGACCAGCCACTGTTTGTACAAATGTATGATAATAATGTGTTCAAGGTCCAGGGCAGTGTAATATAGTATGCAATTAAACTATAGTTTATAACTCTATTATGCTTTAAAAGCATGGTAGAAAGTATGCATGCACAAAGAAGATATGGATGTATAGTCCCAGGTCCTGCAGAGGCTGAGGCACCTGATCACTTGAGCCAAAAGCCTGTCTTAAACAATGTAAGGACAAATGGAACCATCGTTATAGCCGTCTCTACTGTCTATATATAGCATGAACATTTCTATATGTTGTATGTAGCTCAACATACACTATATATAATATGTAAAGAGAAAAAGAAATAACAACTCTTGGGAAATGTATCAGCAAATCCATTTCTAAGAAAGGAGCTTTGTGCTATATACCAGGCTGTCAGATAATGCTGGCCAGCAGCATGCTTGACAGATGGCAGTACAAACAGATGAATGAATTTTGTCTTCCTTAAGAAAGGCCAGCATGGAAGCTAGATTAGCCTGGAAAGAGCCAGGACTATTTTTTCTCTTAGGGTTTGCATTTTTGATGGCTACTGCTGTTCACTTGCCTCTTTGTCTTGTGCTCATGAAGAGTGACAAAAAGCTCTTGGGGTTTGCAGACCCCATCCTCCCTAATCTCTCTGCTCACCCACTCTTCACCCTGGTCTGTATCCCTCTCTCATTTGGAGGTAGAAGATATTCTTAGTGCATGGTAATAGACGTCTGCGTCTGTGTCTCCTCCTACTTGTAGCAAACACCCTGTGAAAGCTATTGTTTGTCTGCTCCTGAATTCTTAGAGGAGGTGAATTCATTGTCCCTTCTCACTGTTGTGTTCAGCCTCTTGGCTTTTGTCATCAGTAGCTGATTATCAAAGCATACCCACCCACTTGACAAAGAAACAACTGTGTGAGTGAAGCCTCTGGGTGAATTTACAGCACCTGCTAGAGTCACAGAAACCATGGAAGAGCTAGAACCAGATGTGACATTCTGAGTTTTTGTTTTAAAGCTGCGTGATTCTATGATGCTTTAGGTTCTGATTTATGTAGTAGCTCTGTACCTTGGACTCTTCCTTGTTCTTAAAAGTTTCAAATTCATGTGGAGGTGGGGAGGGGGTCGAGTTTGGAGGCTGGGATGGTCCTTCAGAATTGCCTTAGTTGGGAATTAGAGGACAAGGCCTCTATAACCTTTATTGTCTATCACTGTTAGCTTACAGTAATTTCCAAAAATGTTCAGCAGCTTGCTATCTCAATACCCATCCTAAATGAAGTGTGTCAGACATTTAGGGGAACTTGGCGGGGCACCTCTGAGAACGTTGACTGGAAGGCAGTCAGTTCATGGGTCAGGCAGGGTGTCTCGGCTTCCCAACCCTTCTCAGGGCTTTGTGCAGGCCTCCGGGTAGAGCATCAGCTTGGTGTTGACAAGCCGTAGTCTTTCATTGACTCTGGATGAGTGACAGGGTTGCATATGGGACTTTTCACGGGGCAGCTCACAACATGACAGCTGGCTTTCCTTGGATCAAGCAGGGAAGGAAGGTTCCCAAATGGAGGATGCAGGGTCCTCTGGTCTGCTCTCTGCAGTGTCATGTTTTGTCCCTTAGCAGGGAGTCCCTGGGTTTATCCCACACTCAAGAGGAAGAAATGACATGGCACCTCATACCAGGATTCCCCTGTTACGTGAACCGTGGGACGTGGGACACATTGTGTCCTGCTGCACGTACGCCTAAACCATTCTCTGTGAATACAGAAGTTCAGTTCTGCCGGTGGATGGAAAAAGCGCGAGCTTTCAGGAGGCCGGTTGTAGAAGCTTCTACCTTTAGTCATCCACTGGATGACTTTCAGGTGCTCTTTGAGTCATTGGTCTTCCCCTCTGTATTTCACAGGTGATACGGAGCAGGTGCCCGACTCTGTCACCTTTCTCTACCAGATAACCAGAGGGATTGCCTCGAGGAGCTACGGACTGAATGTGGCAAAGCTAGCAGATGTGCCTGGAGAAATCTTAAAGAAAGCCGCTCACAAGTCCAAAGAGCTGGAAGGCTTGGTCGATCTGAGAAGGTTGGAATGCCATTGTCTTGTTCTTTGTTTTGCTTCCTAGTGGGACCTTCTAAGCTGTCCAAGGAAGAGGGTGGTCCTGTAAATGACCATGGGAGCCTCTGTGGAGTTTGGGGTGAAAGGCCACTGTGGAGCCTTTGTGGGGTTTGGGGTAAAGGGCCACTGTGGACTCTCTTCTGCAGGCTTTCCTTAAGGCCAGAGGAAAACAGCCTTGGGCAGAGCTGTTTGTGTCAGGTCTTCATTAGCTGGAAAACAATCCTTTTTGGTCTTTTTCCCCAAAAAATTAGTTCGGTGTATGCCAACACCTTAGCTGCTGAGGAATGAAGGTTATCTTAAAACTTACTGAGATCGTCAGTGCTTGGGGCCTACACGGGTTTCTCTCATTTACACAGTGCATCTGCAGTGATAAACAGCTTTCAGGACCAAGAAATCTGTCCAGGGATCCATAAAAATGCCTCCAGATCTGACCACCTGAGTTTGATCCCTGGAACCCACATGACAGAAAGAGACCCCCTGCCCCACCCCGCCCCTAAATAAACAAATGTAATGAAAAAAGTTTAAAGAATTCTGTCAGGATCTGTGGGATGGAGACCTGGCTCAGCAGTTAAGAGTGCTTGCTGCTCTTCCAGAGACCAAGTTCCAGTCCTAGCACCCACATCAGGTACTCACAATCGTCCGTAACTTCAGTCCCTGGGGATCCAATGAGTTTGGCCTCAGTGAACACCTTCATAGTCATAGTGCACATAATCTCCTGCAGACATGCATCCATACACATAAATAAATGAATCAGTCTGTCAGGATATGATTGAGCCATGAGATCACATTATCCACTTGTCACTTACTTCTGAATTGTATGTGGCAACTGTATCTGTCTTCCCTCTGTACTCCACCTCCACCGTTTGTGTGAATGTTTTCCACCCTTGATAGCTAGTCAGTGCATCGTCAGTTTATGAACTAGTCTTAAAATACTCCCAGGATATACCTGAGGGAGACACCCTGTGAACAAACAGCAAGTTGCAGCCTTTTCTTTCTCAGGCAGTTAGGAAGTAACTGGAGTTGGCTCTGTCTTCTAGATCACTTCTGCAGCGTCACACCACAAGTAAAGGCGATGTAATTAGTTCCAGCCTATGTCTGTTATAAGGCAAATTCATATAAAAAGTTATCGGTGAGAGCGCAAAATCTAAACTTTAGCCTTCTGCAAAGTTCAAAGGCAATCATAGTCTTTCCTGTCATCTGATCACCTTTTCCTGGAAAAAGTAAGAGCAAACCTCTGCCTCGAAAGAATGTACTGGATGTGGTGGCACAGCCACTTCCTCCCAGCTCTCTGGAGGCAGAGGCTGGTGGATCTCTGTGAGTTAGAGGCTAGCCTGGTCTACATAGTGAGTTCCAAACTAGCCAGGGCTATATAATGAAAGCCTGCCTCAATGGACACACATACAAACTGCCAATAAAATAGTTTATACCTGTTGGTAGTTTAGCCTCCAAAGCTAAAGTGAGAAAATTAAAGAGTTCACAGATTGTTACAGATTATCACAGATTATTAATGTGGGGAAATCTGCAGCATTATCTTGATAAGGTGACACATTACATTACGATGGGACATTTCAAATCTGAAGAGAGGTGGTTTAGCACTGGCTGCTCTTTCAGAGGACCCAGGTTCAGTTCCCAGCACCTACATGCCCATTCACAACTGTCTATAACTCCAGTTCCAAGGGATCTGACCCTCTCTTCTGACCTATGTGGGCACTAACTATGAGAATGGCACATAAACAGACATGCCAACAAAACAATCATACACATAAAATAACTACCCCCTCAAATATTTTTGGAGATGGACCATTTTGTGGTGCATTAGGACACTGTATGTACTTTCCCTATTCATTAAAAGCGGTTTCCCATCAGTTTTCCTGGTCAGATCAAAAAAAGCAAACCGATCCTTGTGTGGTAAGTATGGCTTCACTATAGTAGTTAAGGATTAATCACATACAGAAAGGATTATGTACAGTTACCTGTGCCAGCTGACTTACCCACATCGGCACACTAATCCTCATGACAACCTTGTGTGCTGAGCAAGGATCTGACCAAGGGCCATCACGCTCATTAGACGGGGGCAGTAGTTGGAACTCATACTCCAGCCCCTCACCTTAAATCACTAACTGCATTACTGTTTTGCTGGTTGATGGTCTGCTGGTGTTTTGCCCTTTCGATTACCAGCTTTATTACATCAGTTTCACTTTTTGTCTTGGGAACATTTACTAGGAGTGTTTTGTCTTTGGACACAGATGGGGACAGAGATAAGAAGTCCTAGGCCCCTCCCTGCAGGCAGGAGTTTAGAAGTCAGCAGGATGACAGTCATGCTAATCAGTATCCTGGATCTTTAAGGCAGCTATAGCCCTGGAGTGGGGACACGGTCACAGCTTTCTGTCTACTGAGCCCTTTCTGCCCCTGCTGAGTAGACTGTCCATTGCTCTGGTGACACGCACTCCCCCACTAATCCCATTTCCAAAATAACTAATACTTTGTTTTTTTCCTCCAGGAAGAGGCTTAAGTTTTTTACAGACGTATGGATGACACATAACGTAAAGGACCTGCAAACGTGGGTAGGGGAGTTGGGAACAGAGGAAACACAGACTTCTCTCCCACATTAAAATGAAACCTACCCTTTCTGAGTAAAACATGGAGAACTGGAGATACAAACTGTGCTGAAGAACTTTCTGGTAGCAGCCATCTTTGTGACGTGAACACACGTGATGAGCATGGTCTTCCTGTTGAAACAGATTTCTTCCTCTGACAGGAGAGCTTTTCAGGCTCTCATCTTCCTGGCTTGAGAAGAACAAACTTTTGGGATGTGGAAGCTTTACTGGGTCATTAGAAATGTTTGCAGGCAGTAAGCTTCGTATAAAACCAACCCTTCTCGGTGAAGCCTAGGATGGCGACACTGGCACTGAACGGTCGCAGGGGCTGTACAGTTTTTATTTCAGACAGTTGGCAACAGGGTAATCTGATAGGAATCTGCTTTCGTGAGCACTAAAGAGTTTTATAATGGTAGTTGATTTTTCACTATGGACATAAACATCTTCATGAGAAGTAGAGCCATGAAACTCCTAGAAGCCAGAACACAGGAAGGAAAAAAGCCATATGAAATTTGAAGGCCTGGATGTTGCCGTCATTTTAGACAGCTTAAAGGTTGTTGCATCAAATCACTGTATCATTCAATTAAATAAAACTATGGAATGAATACTTGCTCAAAGTTATGGTGTGACTGAACTGAACTTTGATTTCCTGGCAACACAGTTTTCATGCTTTCCTTTTTTTTTTTTTTTTTTTTTTTTTTTTGTTTTGTTTTGTTTTGTTTTTTGAGATGGGGTCTTGGGGTCTCACTATGGCTCTGGATCACTTGGGACTCACTATGCAGACCTGGCTGACCTGAAATCACAGAGCCCCACCTGCCTTTGCCTCCAGAGCCGCCATGCCCAGCTGTAGAAGGCCCTCGGGAGCTGGCCTCGGTTGTTCTGACTGCTGTGTTAACCAGGTGACACATATGTCATCTTAGAGCTGAACCTTGAGGCTTTTTGGATTCACAGACACCCTACTTCCCTGCAGGTTTTGAGGGAGGGACACCCAACTGTGTCCCTGGGTTTTTACAGCACTTACAATCTGGCTCCTCCTGCCCATATTTCTAAGTATGTCATCCTGCATAAGGGCTCTCCCTTTCCCACCCACTTCTTATTCCTGTTCAGTTAAATTTCTGTCCCATAGCTGATGGGCATAGCTTTAATTCCTTTTTCTAAATTATTACAGTGACCACTACTGAATGGCTCCATTAATTATGTTACTTGTACCCAATACCATTTTACCCATTTAGACTATGCAGATCAGTGGATGTTTCTTTGTTCATGGACTTGTACAGCTGTCGCTGTTGTCAGTTTTAGTGTTCTCGTCTCCCCCAGTGGGACCCTTGTACCCACTGACAGTCATTCTCCATTTCTCCCCAGAACCCCAACACAAGACAACCCCTTATCCACACGCTGCCTCTATAGGTGGGCACCTGGTCTAAATGTCTTATGTAACATGTGCTCTTCTGTGCCTGTTGTCTCCAGACTTCATCATGCCATAGAATGTACCAGTAAGTCACTCCCCGTGGATGGAGTGAGTATTTATCATCCTGCTTCAAACCCATATTTTATGTAGCCATTCAGTGGCTGATGTACATTTGGATTATTCCATTCTTGCTGTTGGAATAGTTCCAGGAGCAGCTTTGTATGTGACAAAGCATGGTATGTTTCAGAACCACCACCCTCCCCCTCCCCATTTATGAATCATTAGTTGCAATGGTTACAAGTGACTTTTACATGTACAGTGATTTGTTCCATCTCTTCTCTGCTTTAAGACTGATTAAGATCCCAATAAGTATCATTAAAGTAGAAGAGACTACATGTACACACGTTTCAGAAAGTTGGTAAGAAGAAGCTCCTTGTCATCAAGGGAGCAACTCACTGATGGCTTGAGGTCCTCACAGAAGGGAGATGTATTTTAAAATAAGACAAGGATTTTTCATCTGACAGTTTGTCAGGTTGGAACTTTCCATGGAGGGGGTGGTCATGGGGCTGGTGAAACAGTGCCTACTGTGTGAATTTCTGAGAAATCTAGATCGAATCCAATATGGCCTGCCAATTAATACTGACCTTTGATGACCCCCAAGATCAATTGTAGTTACTGCTGTGCAGTATAATTACAAAAAATGCCACTTGGTGCTTCTCACTGGGAGCATGGAATGTATTGGCATCATCTGTCATTCCTCCAGGGCACACTGTAGCTTGTGAATATGAGGACTGCTAGCTTTACTGGCCCAAGGAAGTGGCCGGGACAGTACTTTGTCGTGGTGATGATTGCTCTGGCTTGCCAGGGACATCCTGACCTCCTCCTGCTTGGCTGGCACTTTTATTAAATGCCTCTGCAACTCAGAACTGCTGTGTTTGGAATCCCAAACTATAAGGTTACCCCAGTTACAGGTATGTGTGGCACAGCCATTGTCATGACAAGTTTCAAATGCCATCTTTAAAAACCCATTTCTCCCTCTTTCATTGGCTGAACTCAGGTTCCTCACAAAAGCCTGCCATTTGCTCTCGCCCATTCTGGATAGGATTGTGGCACTTAGAAACTACTGTGTCACTTGTAAGCTCCAAGTTTGCTAATTGCTGTTAGGCTTTACCACCTAATCCATCTTTAAAACTAAATCCCAAGATAACTTGTCATCTGCCTGTTCCCATGAAATCATGAAGACTATGCTCCTACTTGATGTCGTGAGACACACAGCAAAGCTGTCTTCAGGCAGAAATAGTTCAGCTTGGGAGAAGGAATTCTTTTCTCTGGTTGTTTTGTCCTTTATTCAAATACTTAACTCCTTTTTACTGCCTTTGGTGGTTTCATTCAAATCTCTCTGTCTATCTGTCTGTCTCCCCCTCTCCTTCCCCTCCATCTCCTTTTACATTTACAAGATTTCTTTATTAATAATTTGCTCCTGAAAAGTTTTGTATGTGTATATCATACATTCTATTTTCTCTCACCTTCTCTTATCTCCCTCCCTTCCCAGTCAAGCCCTATTTCTCCCTCACTAATTTCTTTGCCACATTAATGTCTTTTAGTTTTGTGTTATAACTCACTGAGCTTTTAAAACACACATACACACATACAATGCATTGATCGTTTTTTGCTTCCCAGATGCTCCCTACCTCCACGACTTTGTTTTTTCTCTCTTTAAAACAAAGAAAAACAAACAAACAAAAATAACAAGTGCACATAAAAAAATGAAAATCATGATAAGCAAAAGACTAAGAAGACCCCTCCCCCCCCCCAAAAAAAAAAAGCTCAAACAAAGCAAAATGAACAGTCTACAAAACTACCATGAGTTCATTTTGTGTTGGCTAATTACTCCTGGGCATGAGGCCTTCCCTGGAGGGTGGTTAGTATGTCCAGTGAGACTCCCCATCTGGCTTGACCCTGTGCAGGTCTTGTGTATACTGTCACAGTCTCTGTGTGCATCAGTCCTGTTGTGTGGTGAGATCTTGCTTACAAGAAAAGCCTGTCTGAAGCTCAGAGATGGAGCTTGCCACTAGCTAACCATAGACAGACAGGAAAGGAGGTAGCTGGTCAGAAACAGGATATAAACAGAAAAATAGAAACTCCCTCTCTTGTCTTCTGAGACACTAAGGAGGTAAGGGGTGGCAGTGGTTTGCTTCTTCTCTCTGATCTCAGCATTTTCCTCTACCTCTGACTCTGGGTTTGTATTACTTGGACCAGCTGAAAATTCCATTTACACTGTTGCATCTGGAAGACTGTTTCCTGGGCATCATCTATCACCTCTGGCCCTTACAGTCTGTCTGCCTCTTCTTCCACATAGCTCCCTGAGTCCTGAGGGGAGGGATTTGATGAAGACATCCCATTAAGGACTGAGTGCTCTGAAGTCTCTCACTCTCTGCACATTGTCCCATAGTGGGGCTCTGTGTGAGCTCCCATCTACTACAAGAAGGCACTTTTCTGAGGAAGGCTGACCGAGGCACTGATCAGTAACCCCCTGGGTTTACCAGGATCTTCTGTGTGATAAAGGAACTACACTGGAGCTTGATGTGTTTAACCAGTAAGCACTCAGCTAAGGACAATGACTTCACCTCTCCCAGCATCTGTCAATAGCTGATAACTCAGCAGGGATCGGTAGGACCCTAAGAGCCCTCCCCCACCCATGACTGGCAGTTGACAGGGCCAGTCTTGTGCAAGTGAATGCAACTACTGTGAATTGCTAATTGCAGTCCCCATGCCATGTCCAGAAGATGGCATTTGACAGGCCTTCTCCCTCTCTTTAAGCTCATACATTTCTTCTGCCCATCTTCTGCAGTGTTTCTGGAGAGTATCTGAAGTACTGTGTGATGGGAGATGTCATTCTGTAAATATGTTTCTCGTATTGGCTAATGAATAAAGCATTTTTGGCCAATAGAAAAGCAAGATAGGCGGGACTAAGAGACAAGGAGGATTCCAAAAGGAGTAGGAAGGAGAGTCAAGATGGAGGATGGAGAGAGTAGAACACCGGACCCTCTCTCCGGTAAGATGAGACTATGTAAAAATTGTTAGATTAATAGAAATGGGTTAATATTTAAGACAGAGCTAGCCGATAAGAAACTAGTTACAGGCCAACCGCTTTATATCTAATATAGTGGTGGGACCAGACCAACAGGAAAAACAACCCCCAAACAACTATGTGTCAATTTTACCTCAAGCTCCTTCTGCATTTTACTTCATGAAGCCCCATGGGGTGTAGGGTTTGTTACCTTCTGTTGAAGTTAGTTCAGGAAGATTTAAATGAAGTCTAACCCTGCCCTGACTCTGGATCTGAATGTTTGAGGTTGGGAGACAGCATCCGTCTTGATCAGCATCTATTTATCAGTTTTTCACTTTCTCTCTCCTTTCTTTTACTCACTTCCCCCCCCCCCATAGTCCATGCTCTAGTCTGCAAAGAAATGTGTGCATGTCCCTTCCCCAGCCCTCTCAAAGATTCTTCCTGAGTAGGTCTAATGTGGAACCCCAGGAAACATGTCATGTTTTTAATAGATTATTTCTTAAGACAATTTCAAATTTAGGGGAAATCAAGTAGAGGAGCCGAGTTTCTGTGTCTTCCCTGCCCCCACAACTTCCTCAGTGTTCAATCTGGTACATTTGTCAGATTTGAGGAATTAACCTTGACATCTCAGTATCACTCAGAACTGTGGCTTATGTTAGGGCTCACTCTTATACACTGGTGAACAAGAACATCTTCCCATATAGTATCATACAAAGTATCATACAAAACTGCCCTAAAAGTCCACATGCTACCTGTTTTGCCCTCCCTCCCTCTCCTCAAAGTCCCTGAAACCTCCAATCCTTTCATTGTCTCCATAGTTCTGCCATTTCCAAAATGCCACATAGTTGGAATCCGAAATTGTTGCATTTTCTTCTAGTAATGTGCGTTCAAGATCCCTCCCTGTCCAATGACAGGAGAGGGTGTCAAGTCCTCTAGAACTGGAATTATGGATGGTTTCGAACCAACATGTGTGTCCTAGGAACTGAATCTGGTTCTCTGCAAGAGCAACACCTGCTCTTAACTAATGAGCCATCTCTCCAACCCCACTGGGCTTTGTTTTTCAGTGCACTTTTGGTTTCACAGCAAAACTGAGCAGAAAATACAGAGAGGGCCCTTTATCTTAAACTGTTGTAATTGATCCCT